TAGAGCCTGGAGCCTGCTTCCCATTCTGTGTCTCCCTCTCTCTCTGCCCCTCCTCTGCTCACGTTCTTTCTGTCTCTCTCTCTCAAAAAATAAATAAATGTAAAAAAAGTTTTTTTTAATATCCATGGAACTTTATGTTCAAGAAAACATTCCCCAGAACCTTTATGAAACAATAAAGTTTCAACTACTTTAACTACCTGCACAAACATATAGCAAATGATAGTTAAAGCAAAATTTGTTCCAGTTTATAACCAACGATATCCATGCCAAGAGGAGGCTGAAGTAATAATAAAAATAATAAATATCAGGATACTAACTTGGAGTTCGAGGTTATGGAAAGAATGACATTTTCCTCTATGTTATTTGGTTTTACCAAACTAAAGAGTTTTTCTTTCTTTCTTTCTTTCTTTCTTTCTTTCTTTCTTTCTTTCTTCTTTCTTTTTTCTTTAAGTTTTAGAAACCATGTGAAAGTACTGGTTTATTTAGCTGTGATGAAAGTATCATGCTAACATGCAATGTTAATAATAAAGGAAATTGAATGTAGGGCATATAGGACCTGTCTTTACCATCTTCTCAAGTTATATGTAATTCCAAAACTATTCTAAAATAAAAATGTATTTTAAAAACCACACTAAGTAAAATTTAGAATGTAGAAAAATGAAAAAACTCATTCACAATTCCACTGCTCTGATATAACCATTGTTTGACATTTGGATGTATTCCCTTGTACATTTTTTTATATGAATAATTGTCAAAACTGTCAGTGAGATTTGCTTTTCTTATGTAATGTTATCTCACAAACATTTTTTAAGTTTATTCATTTATTTTGAGAGAGAGGGGTGGCGGGGAGGGAGAGAGAATGCCAAGCAGGCTCCACACTGTCTGCCTGATGCGGGGCTCGAACTCACGAACCGTGAGATCATGACCTGAGCCGAAGTTGGACACTCAACCAACTGAACCACCCAGGCGCCCCTATTTCACAAACATTTTATCCAGTTTCTACATGGCTTTGCCATCAGTTTGAATGGGTCCATGGTATGACCATCTCTAACACAGAAGTAGATTCTAGGATGTGTGTCTGAGGGCAGGGCAAGGGCCTCCCCCTGCTATGAGGAATGGTATATGTCAGTGCTCTGACAAAAGAGCCCCTGACGAACGCTTTGTCTGGAGCTGAAGTATTAGGAGATCCTAGGTGATAAGACTGAGGGATATGTTGGAGCCAGGGCCCCAGAGCCTTGAATGCCAGACACAGGTTGATAGAAATTATTGGGGGTTGTAAGTTGTGGCCATATGACCATATGGGACCCCAGGGGGACTGGAGAGAAGATGGGGGTTAATTTTAAGCCTGTGACTGGGAGATGTTTCTACCAAGAATGTAAATAGAGAATTCGGATAGAAGATAAGATTCATGTGTTGCTGGGATTAAGTTCCGCTTGTGGGTTGGGGAAAAAGGAGATAAACGTTTGTAGAGTGAGGGGTATGTGAGATTTGTGGCAATGCCTGGTAAGTGCTGGAAAACGCAGCACTAGGTACTGATTTAGGACTCGCGCATCAGGACATTACAGTTGAAGCCTCAGGAGCGGACGAGACTGCCAAGGAGAGAGTCCTTGTAGAAAAGCAAAGAGAGGAGCCAAGGGTGGAAGTTGTGGAACACCTCACTTTAGAGGCCAGCAGAAGAAAAGAGCTCAGAAGCAGAAACTGGTCATCGGGACAAAAACGTGATTGCCAGTCTTAAAGAGTGAGCAGGTGACAAGAAAGTTCATGCAGTCCTGTCAAATTCCTTAAGGTGGCAAGTAAAAATAGTAAATTCTTGTTGGAGAGTGTTAGAAAATATGGGGGAAAAAGGCTTCTTTTTTCTCAAGATGGGAAACCTCAGATTTTAAAGGATAAGGTATTATCAAGGAGCAGAGAGATTAAAACCAGGAGGAG